ATTATTATTATTATTATTATTATTATTATTATTATTATTATTGTTATTATTATTATTATTATTATTATTATTATTATTATTATTATTATTATTATTATTATTATTATTATTGTTATTATTATTAATTATTATTATTATTATTATTATTATTAATTATTATTATTATTATTATTATTATTACCATTATTCATTGTTATTGTTAATTACTATTATCATCATCATTGTTAGTAGCTGTAGTTGTAATAATATAAGGCAGCAGTATTACTGCTGCTACTACTACTAGTTATAGCGGTAATAATAATACTATTATAGTAGTAATAGTAATAGTAGAAGTAATAGTAGTAGTAGCAGCAGTAGTAGTAGTAGTGGTAATAGCAGTAGTAATTAATAATAGAGCAGTAGTAATAGATGTCATTGTTGCATTTTAAAATGTGGTAATCAAAGTGACAGCCTTCTCGTCTCCGTCTATCTTTCACTGCTTCATCATTGTATTTATTTTTATAACCCAACACTTACGCTTTATCAATTAATTATATACCTAATTATTTATCTTCCCAGCATGATGTAATTTTCGTTGCATCTATTGAAGATTGATGAATTAGCATTTTAAAACTATGGATTTGTATCATCACAATATATATGCTGGGGATAAGTATTTCATCTGAAATCTATCTCGAATTTCAAAATCTTTTTAGATAAGAAGTGCAGAATTGCTTGAATCTCTTGAGAGTTTCAGTATCATGCAACCTATTTTTAACGAATAGCGATGTCATTAGTCTCATTAAGCTTCATCTACATATCATATGCTTTCACAATAGAACCAGAAGAGATGTTAATATCTTTTGATGTAAATAAGAAAATATTCGCACCATTATGTACTTTTTTCCACAGCAAATATTGTAAATTTTTTAACGGCTATTCAGAAATTGAAGGAAAAATTACCCGAGCAATTAATGGGAGAAAAATGAATCTAACAGAAGTCAATAGCCGCTATCTGGCATTAAGAAGACGTTCAACTAAGACTGGCTTTATCAATACGTTAAAACCGCGGTAAGCTTCTCTTTCTTTTTTTCATTCTTCTGATAGTAAGGATTGATAGGTTAGGTAAAGGAGAAAAAGAAAAGAAAGACAATTTATATAAAATTCATCTCAAGAAATTCTTTCACACCAGAAAAATGGAAAATCAAAGCTAATGAACAGTAATAATGATAATAACAGTGATATTAAAAATATATAATATTAATGGAAGTCTTTTTTCTTAGAAGTGACAAAACACTTTTCATTTTTATCAACGGTAATTGTTGCTAAATACTGTTTCTTATTTAACAATGAAATTTATATCATACTTCTTTTTTGTATTTTTAACAATAACTAGTTAGTGTTAACATCCGATATATGATTAGAAAAATGCGATATGTCGAAGTTATTAAAATTTGAATTTTATAAATCAAGTAATTATAAATTAACACTGTATTATTTATAAACGTCTAAATTTTATTGGTTTGGGAAGTAAACAAGTGTGGTATGAATTAGTAATATACATTAATGTAAATGTTATGTAAAGGAAAAATGAAGATTTGAAAAAATCTCAATTCTTTTAAAATTATTTTAAGCATTTATCACTAATTTCTTTTGTTTCTTTTTCCTTTTTCCACTTCGTTTTCATTTCTTTCAGTTTTAAATTCTGATAACATTTATTGTTTCAGACATTGACTTCTTTACACATATTATTATTAATTTTACATTAAACAATAAAAATGAAATTCACCAAATGTTCCGAAGCATAAAATTTTTTTTCGTAAAAATTTCTTTCAAATACAGTTGCAAACTTCGTGCTATCCATATTTCATTAATTCCAATATTAATTATTAAGTTAAAATAGGAAATGAGCGATGAAAATGAGCTTTATAACAGTTTCCATTCAAGGAAATTTTTTAAACAAAATAAGAAAGGATTGTGATTTAAAATGTTCATAAATCAATAAAAGTCTCACAATCAAAAACAAAATTTTAGAAAATGCCGCTATCCGTGAAATTAATTTGCTCCTTAAAATTTAATAAAACTTTTTTTTCTCTCTTTCATATTTTAAAATTAAAATCCGGTTGATTGTTTCAGATATCCATGCAAATTTTAGTTAGCAATCGATGTCTATATTTTTGTAAAAACTACCAGTGATCAGTGATCATAATAATCAGTATTATAGTGATCAGTGATGATAAGTAATCTGTGATCACAGAAATTGACGACACGATATGACAACATATTTCAATGTCTTAAAATATATGGCGGAATTTTTTTCTTTCCATATTTTTACATTGAAAAGTTAAGAACCATTAAATATCAATTAAGTATAAATGAGCAAATAATTTGAGATATCAGAAATGTCAGGATGCAAAAGTTCTTGAATAAATGGATAGATGGATGATATAACCCGATATATGCCGGTAGATTAGAAGAAGAAGAAAAGAGTGAGAAGATGAAAGACCAAACAAAACAATTACTAATCATTGTTCTATTTTGATATCATTCTTCCCGTGGTTACTGCAACATTTATAAGTTAGTCCTGTTGAGCTGATTTCACTAAAATTTAGAGAAATGACTGATTAATGAAAATTTAAGATAGATGAATATATGATAAGTGTCGGCCGTGGTATGAATACGAATTGGATAAGCTTTAAAATAGCTATACCAACGGCATGACATTTCTGTGCACTCAATTAGTCTACCGTTGGTGACAGCCAGTCGAGATGTTTGAATTATGCTTACCAATTTTGTAATTTTAAGAAAAATGGAATGAGGGCAAATTTTGCAGAGCGATTTAGCGAGGCTCTTGTCTAATTTCAGAAATTTGGGTAATAATTATGTTACAAAAATATTTTAAAATTATTCAAACTTTTATTTTATACTGCAATTGATTAAGTTTCACATTAATAGGAATTCCTTTAATTGTTTTTCGAATACATTCTTGAAATACTTCTTGTTCACCGAGCAAAAATATAAGCTATCAATAATGATTAAAATTGCAATAATTAAAAATTTTATGTAATCCAAAAAAGAAATATTAAGTATTCCTGTCCGTTAAATTAACTTATTTGATTTTTTATCTGTGCATAATTGATTTCTTTTTCCGCAAACTTTTAGACGCAATCGTTCAGCAAGTGATTCAATTGTTCACAGGAAACTTCTTTGCAACAATGAGAAAAAAGTTGAGATTGTCATCGAACTCCTGCAAGTTTTTTCAATTTCCTTATTTCTTGAAATGTTTATCTGTCCTCATATTTCATTGTATCAAATTTTGCACACTTCAAATAATCCAGTCAATCTTCTAGAACTTTTGCATTAAAAAAAAGTTTTGTCCTAAAGTGTGACAATAGTGCGATATCAAAATTCACACGAATTTCTTAGTTATTTTAACAAAATTTTCATTCACTGATAATTTCAATCGTTGTCAAATGATTCCTTTGCTCTTTCTAGAAATCTTGCCGATACATCATCAACTAGTAATAGCTATGTCTTCAGTGCACTTTATGAAAATGACAATGAAAACGAGAAAGCATGGCTGTTGGTTTGTTTTCCAATCTAGCTGGGCATTCACTTATCTAATTTCAAATTTGATTTCATCAAAAAGAATTTGAAATGAATTTGATCATCCAGTAATAGCTGTTATCATTGCTACCGTAATATTACAAACCATACAGAGCCAAGTTCCGAAAATATTCTATAAAAGCAAATGAGATAATAGGCATATTTTGGTGTTTACTTCATCATTTATTTTATATTTCGCAATGAAATTCTGAAAAAATCATTATAAAATGATTGAGCAATTTCGAAAATTTAGTGTCATTGTCAACCGTCACTACTTGTTACATACTCTGTCATTGTCTATAACATAGTCTATCATCTTTCATATTTTGAAATCTGCAAAATTTATAAACTTTTCGATTCATTCAAGTTTTAATTAATGTACGATTAGTTGTATTTCCGCATTGCTTGTAGCACTCAACAAGTGAACCAGAATTGCGATGCTCAAATCATATCTCTTTCAATATGTCTTTCACTATTGACTATTTCTTCGAAAGAGTACAGCTGATGAAAATCGAAATGTAAGCTTTCGGTTGATATCCTTACAATAGCTTCTAATGCTTTTGAAATTTTCATATTAACAATTTCGTAAATTTCATGCTAATAATAAAACTAATAATTTTTTTTTCCAGTCAAATAAAAATTTTGTATTCATTAGTTTGTCTAGAAAAATCTCAAATGAGTCTGCTAATGAGCCATGAGTATTAGTGATCTTTTATTGAATCTTCCTATCACCATTCATTCGAATTATTTATGCAGTAGCTATTAAATCCTAACGATATGAACTTGGTGATATTTTCACCATTTGATCGAAAAAAACAATAATTTAAATATTTTTGAGTTGAATAGGTAATTATGATTATAATAATAAAAGAGGTGCAATACCAGAAGAAGTTTGTTTAGTAGAGATATCGCGGGATTAACCACTGTAAGGACAGCATTATAAACAGATGAAAAGATCAATTGTTATCTTTTTTTTTATAAAATTCAAACTGTTTTTTTTTGTAGAAGAGACTTTTCGATAGGTGCCTCATTTAAAAATACAGTGGGTAATGTCATCGGTAGTTCTGTATTCAAGCTTGATGAGTTAATTGGCGCATTTGGCACACAACTTCAGCTGCCTTTGAGGTGACTTTTATAATTAATTTGAAAAAACCATCTGACGTCTGACATTTATTTGTTCTTTCGAAGATTTCTTTCGAATTCAAAAATTCTATTTTCTTCACTTAGTATCAATCATTTTTTTTAGTGCGAAAACATCAATAACAAGCACATCGAGTGATGAACATCAAGCAGTACCACAGGAATTATACTGTGGATGGATTCTTGTCGCTGCTCGTTTACCTGAAAAAGCCGCACCTGTGATATTACAATTTTCGGGGAAAAATTTGGAAAAAAAGGATAAATTTTTCGATGAAACATCAGTTTTCTTTGTAGTGAGTACTGCATTTGTCAAAAAATTTTAGCGACTAGCGAGAACGTACTTTCAATCACTGTAGTAAAAGTATGTTTTCGTCGTAGCTGAGAATTGTAAAATGCGGCTAAAATCACGCAGGCTAAAATTAAGAAACTTATTAACTTATAACTTATATTATCAACTTGTTAACTTATATTATTAACTTATAAAATGCACTTCAGTAGTTAATTACACCACCAAAGGACAACTGCGCTTAATTCGATACGATCTCATTCCTCTACATACTACTTGTTTTAGCTATTATTCAAATAGGCTGCACTTGCTTACTTAAAGATACTTGTCTTCTATTTATTATTATTTATCGAATAAATAATTATGCATAAATTTTCCTCTGCAAACTTTTTTCTTTTTTCAGATACATAAAATAGAAAATGATGGAATGAAAACAGAACTGTATCGAAGTGAAACTATACGTGAACATTCTCATCCTATTTGGCGACCGTTCAATTTGCATTTGCGAAAAATTGCTGATAACCGAAATAGGTTTGCTTAGTTTCTTTGAAATCTTTATGATTATAATATTTTTCTTCCGAATAATTGAATTATTTCACTACCATATGGTTGAATTTATTAAAAACACTTGTGCTTGCATAATTTTGTTTTTGATTTAACTAAAATTTTGCAAAATAACTCAAATCTTTTGGAATTAAATGGAGATAAATGTTTCACGTTTTCAAATTCATAAGTTACGTTGACGGAGAATATAGCTTTCATATTGTCATACGCTTATACTTCTTTTTGTTTTAATTTTAATGAAATCGTTTGGATTTTTTCAATTACAACTATTTTAAAACAACAAAGAACCTCGTGAGCATTTTTTTGTCATCTTTTCTGTCATACTTCATTAATAAGAATTTTATGATAAAATTAGGCGAATAAATGCAGTCAAAACTGTTGCAAATTATCGTCTGTTACTTTTCAATCAGATTGTTTAAAATAAGGGACAAGCTTAATTTACTGCAAAAAATGTTGCAGTTAAAATTGAACACCTTTCAGGTTGCTAGAAATATCTGCCATGTATCGCGATGAAATGAATAAAATAGGCCTAATTGGTTCCTTTCTAACAACGTATGCAAAAATGAAATATGGTCCAGGGGAGGAGAATGTTTACAATTTGGTTAATCCCAAGAAAAAGTCCAAAAAAGGATATTTAAAAAGTGGGACGATGGAGCTGATCAAATTCAGCGATGTATCATTTTACTCCTTCTTGGATTACGTCACCAGTGGGTCAGTTGTCAAACTTTTTCAAATCAAAAATTTGGATTAGAAATGTTACACTACTTTACACTCTAACACAATAATTAGATTGAAAATCTTATACTATTTAATTTTAACACATTCCCACTAAATTTAATTCTTTTTAGTTTGATAACTAAAAATATAATCATATTATTGGTCCTATCATGATTCCTAGTTTACTAAAACTATTTGAGGCTACCTTGTCGATTTATATAGGAATAAAGAGTGGAAAAATAATGAAGCACACATATTGGTTAGTGATATTAATATTAATTAATTGCTGAAATGTGACATTTGATCACTTTCGGCACTTATTATTTTTTATTTCTTGATTGGAAAATGCTTCAGAACTCAACTTCATCTTGCGATAGCAGTGGATTTTTCGACTAATCCAAGTATTAACAAATTGGACGATGAGCAGACATTTGATAATGACTTCCATTGTGCCATTAAAGGTATCGCCGGTATTATTCGATACTACAACTCGTATGCATTTATAATACTTCATTATCACCAGTAAATTAATTTTTTCCTTTTTCTTGCAAAGTTGCCGACCAATCGAGACAGAAAATTTGGTAGTTAACTTTCTCAACAAATTTTAGAAAGTTTCATTTATTGCGATTTCGAAATTTTTAGCGATTATTAAAAAATTAATCCCATCAGGCGTGCGCATATACTTTGTGTTAAACTTAATTTTATTTCTGGTACTGCAAATTTGACCTTATAGGAGTAAAATGTTTCCGGCATTCGGTCTTGGTGGCAAAATTCCATCAGCACTGGATAATGCTCATGTTTTCCATTTGGTCAGTGTTTAATTATTTCATTAACATTCAATTCCATATTTGATTGCTGAGTTCTGGCTAACGAAATTAGATAATGTATACCGGAATTCTGGAACAAGCACTGTATATCGCTGTCAATTATACTACACTTTTTGACAGATTAATAGTTGAGCTAAAGAACGGTTAAATATGGGTTCATCAATTAATGATTTTATAAATATTCATTTATGGGTTAATCATTTAAATGAATTCATAAATATGACCCAGGACTGGAAAGATTTTCGGCAAAAGTTTTTGCGCAAGATGACAAGAATGATCTGATAATCATTCCTGTTATTTTGTGAAAAGCGATAACTAATAGCTTTATCAAAATTTAGAAATTAAATTATAACTCCATTTTTATTTGTTGCAGAATTTCGAAGCAGAACCGTATTGCCGCGGTGTTAATGGAGTGCTGGAAGCATTCCGAAATGCTAAACGGAAAGTGATGCCAAGTACGCATGCCGAATATGTATCTGTCGTCAATGCTATAGCTAGGTGGGAATATGAAGAAATTTATTGAAATTTATTTGAAAAATACGACAAAATTTCGCAGATATGATGGCTTCATAGATATTATGGACATACTGGTGATGAACACGAAAAAAGAAGGAGAAAAAGGTTTTATAGGAAAAATTATATGAAAAAATTATATATATGAAAAAGGATTTTATATATAATCAATAAAATATGTTGTGTCGTTTGAAACTCATTTCAAACAATCATATTTCAATGAACATTCCAAGTTTATTACTTTTAGGATGGCGGAAAATGAGGGTAAGCATGGATTGCATTATTTCGTTTTGCTCATTTTTGTATCAAGCAGCTCAACCATTAATTCCAAAAAACTGATGGATGCTATAACAAATACGACAAAAGCACCGATTTCGATTATATTTTTGGGAAGAAGAGGAGCAAAGTTAAATGGATTTCACAATATCCCAGGTCCTAAGAAAAATGTGTTTCCAAGTGACGTATCGTCGAATTCTGATTTTGTTGAGGTTTCGTTCCATCAAAATTTATTTCCAAATTCAATCTCTTTGCTTGCATTTCAGCGAATGATGGTATAATTTAATGCATTAAATTTGTTTCATGAATATAAATTCTAACCTAACAGTAAAATTTGATGTTTTCTTTTTTTTAAAACTCGTATTGTCCGGTAAAATCTTCATTGTGTCATTTGTGAATGTTACATTAAGCAGATAATGCCTCTTATAAAATAGTAGAACATATATCACTTATAATTTAAATACAAAATGAAACATTAAATTCTCCTTGACATTTAGATTTGACAATGCAATTCATTATTATTTCTTCGATTGCAAGTTTTCTCATGCTAAATCACTTTTTAAATGATTCGAAATTTTTTCAATTTAAATTCATTTGCTTACAGTTTATCGATTTAAATTCGGTAATGGTAAAAGAAACAAGACCGAAGCAGAATGCAAGACGAATAGCTGAGCAGGCTTTGCGTAATGTCCCTTGGCATCTGATAGCTTATATGCATAAAAATAATATTGCCGCAAAACCTCCGATACTGGTTAGTTCAATTTTTTATACATAAAATTTCAAAGTCTCAGGTAAAGTGTGCTAAATTTTAAATCGGAATTTTCCGATAAAAAACCGATTTTCAGATTAATCGTTTATCAGTTTCCCATTCATCAAATTTAATCCCACAGCGACCATCACGATACAAGGAACAGTTACACCGGGATAGGAAGGAACAAAATTGTATCAAGTGTATCACGCCAAGTACGTCACGTAAGCATTCGGACAATGTTGGACGAAATGCTAAAACGGAGAAATTCTGGGATGCCAGTGAGCATTCTCTCTCCCAAAATCATTCCTAAAATATCATCCTTTTCTTGATATTTTCAATTAAATATGAATAGATTTTTCAATCATTTTTGAAAATCAACTTATTAAACAGACTTAACTTCTTTTTTTATTCAATTCATCAAAAGATACTTCACAGCAATGCTTCGGTCGCAGTCAGTAATGAATGGTAAGGATGATGGACGACTGAATTCACCATCGAGTAGTCATTTATCAGAATATCCCTCTCAGCGGCATCCAAGACGGATTTTGAGAAGACAGTTGGCTATTTCATGATTTTGTTGAAGAAAACTTCAAAAGAGCTGAAGGAAAGAGGTAATCAACAAATATATTTAAATATTCAGTTATTTAATTGTGTAATTAATCGGCTAACTTCCTAATCCCTTTGGATTTGAATGTGCATCAAAAAGGGCAGCCAAACTTATTTTATGGTTTTATGAAATCTATAATTATTAATCCACTACCAGTTAGGAACATTTCATCTCACTTGAATTAAACTAACCTTTAGTGCACTGTTCTTTTTTAATCTCTATGGAACTTTTTCTCAACTTTTTTCTGGAACTTTTTTTTCTCATTAATTTCGATCAGCAAGTACAGTTGTTGCATGAAAATAAGGTTTTCGGATTGAAATTTATCAAATTTTAAATTACTAATCAATATTAACAACAATTTAAAATACCATGTTTGCATAATAAAAATATTTCGTAATGAAATTATTTTGTAGCTGTTGTCCCAGAAGTATATGGAATAAATGAAAGCAGATTTGTTAATGGGACAAAGAAGAATGTCCACATGAAAGCGGGTTAACTTAAAATCAAATTAATAATTTCACATATTTCTCTTCTCTTAATAACCTAAAAAAGTCATATTTTTTGTGTAAATTTTGTTGATAAATTTATACGATTTGTAAATATTACGTAATGTCTTACTATAGATATTATAAATTATTCGCTAATTATTAACAACAATTTGAAGCTTCTGTTTTCATTTTCTATAATCTTTGCTATTTTATCAACTTTGTACCTATTAGAGTAGGCATTCGATAAAAACAATCCCTTCGATATACTTTCACCGACTGTAGAAAAATGGCCGAAATGTATAAAGAAGTAATTAAAATCGAATAAATCATTTCCGTGTTATATTTCTTTCGTTTTCAAATGAAATAAATTATATTGCTTTGTTTGGTGTGCAGTAAGATGAGTATTTTTGTCAAATATTGTTATTAATAATAAATTAATTGAATAATCAAATAGAAAGAAAATTACAAATGTTCAAAAATGGGAAACTTAATAATTAATATCATTAAGAATAGGAAGGAATGCAATAAGAATTCAATGGCAATATTTGCAGATAAATAATAAATATAATGTTTATGGAAAGTGACGTAAGTGTGTTGGACAACTTTACGTGAGTGATAAGTTCGGGAATAATTGTAGGACGGTAAATATCTTTTGAGTTATATGAAGGAAATTCTGTGAAATAAAAGGATATTTAATAAGGAACAATTCTGTTTAGTAATCAAATATTAGTAAAGATGAATTTATTTTATTATCCGTTGGAAACCAAGCTGATCATTTGACAAAGTAATTCTTATTTCCTTATCTTTCATGGTTGATGGATAATAATGCAAAAACGTTCCTAAATATCGAAAATTACTTTATCAAAGCTTTTATTAATTTTGATTCAATTTTATCTTCAAGGTTTAAATATGCTGAATTTATCAGTGGTCTAAGCATGATACATTCTATTGTTTTTTATCTTAATCTCAAAAATAATTCATAATTCACTAATATCGATTTACTCTAATACGATCGCTTTGGTTCACAATCTTTATCATTGTCACACCATTTTAAGGATTTACAAATGTCAAAATTTGATGTGATATCCTCAAAAACAAACTTTACATGATCAAAACGATCGTGTTCAACTTTTACAACTTGCCATCCATCATTAATCGTAACCTTTGAGTTTTTCGAGTGATTCTTTGATCGCTTTTTTCTCATAACTTCATCTTCTTCAAAAAAAAACATCACTATGACTAAAATAATTTTTCCTCCCTATTTGTTGATCAACTACTTCCTTATCAGCAGCTGTCGGCTTTATAACCGTTTCTATGACTCACTGGTAATTATCGGTATGATTATCCAAAGTATTATGGTCGATTAAACAGGTATTAAATGACCAATTTAGCAATGCCGTCATATCTGAATAGTAGTTTCGACGCTTAACCTTTGACATTTAATGGAATGATCATTTATGTATTTGACTATATAGTCGAGCTCCTGATTCATCTCCTTAATTTGTCCATTTTAAATAAATAAAAATCACCATATAGTGCAAGATAGAAAAATGATGAACAATTTCGGAATTTTCCAGATTTTAACTAATATTAAGGGTTACAGTTTATAACATTTAAATTCTTTTTAGGATTTTAATTTTAACATAGTGAAAAAACTTGAGAATTTCAATTCCGAATGAATCATTTCAATTTTTACTTTCATTGCAAAATTTCCTTGCTTACAATTTACTGATAAATCCAGTTTCTTTATAACAAAAATTATCAATTATTAGCAGATAAAAGATTTTTTGTTGTCTTTGTATGGTGAATTCTTTCCTTTTTCTAGCCGAAATTTACAACTTTCCGAAGTTTTACAGAATTTTAAACCGACTGTTAAATGTTGAAGGCGGAACTGCAAATTTTTAAGTATCAGAAATTTGAAGCTCACTGGTTAAAAAATATTTTTTAATCGCAATGTTAAATTTTCTAATCCAATTTTTTGGATCTCTTTTTTTTTTTCGAAAATTCAGAGAAAGC